TTACTAAAGTCAGTGTAAATGACATCTGTTTGAAAACTACTATTGAAGCCTTTTATCACAAATGTAGTGAGCTCTAGAAGGTTTGTAATTGTGGATCTACGTTTAATAAATCCGTGTTGACACGGAGAAATAATTGATCTGCAAAAGTGCTGCAAATGAGGAGTAATAATTTTTTCAAAAAGCTTAGGAATAGCTGACAACTTAGAAATACCTCAGTAGTTACTGGCTTCTAACTTGTTACCTTTTTTGAAAAGAGGAATAACAAATGATTCCTTCCAAATATTTGGGAATTGGGACGTTTCTAGAGATAAGGTAAACAACTTGTGAAGAGGTTTGCACAGGGCCTTAGCGCAATACCTAAGCACGCACCCAGGAATACCATCGGACACAAATAAATTCAATGGTATTGAATTCATCAAAAAATAACTCCTCAGACGGGAAGTTTGAATCAACTCCAATTAAGACTCCACCTCCCCGTCTAGAGGGACGGTCATACCTATATATTGTGTACTTACCTGGAAAAACTTCGGAGCTAAAGATCTCCGGCTTTAACCAGGTTTCTGTGAACACAATAATATGAGATGCAAAGGAAAGGCTATCAGAATACAATTTAGTGAGTTTGCTACGCAAACCTCTTGCATTCTGATAGCAAAGAAGGAGGTTAGAAGTTAGTTTTTTGAAATTGGTACACTGGTTTGGCCTCGACTAGGAAGTTTTACTCCTACGGGTCCCTTCTTCTTTATCTTAGCCTCGAACTCTTTTACAACCATATTATCCGGCCAAAAGTCGCCCGAGCATATGGCTTCAAAAAGCTCGTTAGGGACAGTTATCTTGAAAGATGAAATGTCTCTAGCATAAGAAAACTTAAACTTTTCCACCTTTACACTATTACAATCGGCTTTAGTTTTGTCTTGTATATAAGACAATACATCAGAAGATGTTTGATCAGGGGAAAGCCGAGAAACGAAAATTTGTTTCTTTAGTGGAACCACTAAAAGGGATTTTGGTGGAGCAGACATTGTTTCTGCAAAACCAACTTGAGCCGGTTGTCCGGACTCAGTAGTCCCTTGTGGTGGTGATACTACATTCTGAGAGATAGGTGGATCCACTAATTGTGAAACCACTACGGACAAATCGGAATTCTTAGAAGTCCCTGGTTGCATGCATTCTGTAACGGATTCTTCGGATACCGAATCTTTTTAGCTGCTGATCTTAGCAACATTTGAGGGTTTGCTGAAATCAGCTGCTGATCCGCCGGAATGCTCTGTTGTTCTTTTGATTTCGGTTGCGGGGTGTTCCCCTTTTGCTCCTTACCACCAGCGGCCTTTTTGCGCTTAGGGGACTCTTCTAATAGCTTACGACTATTAAACTGCGAGTCCAGCGCAGATAGGAGATCATCAGCTCGGCGAAAACTATCTCTAGCAACTCCGAAACAGCTAATCAGCCCCATCATAGCATAGAGTAAGAGGTTTCATTTGCTCTGCCCGCGCTCTCGAGTGACTTTGCCAGTGATGCCACGTAGGGGAAATACGGAAAAAATAGAGTTTTTCATTTGTTCGATCGAACTGGAATCGAGTCCCGCGGTGAGTTTCTGCAGCTGCACTGGTTGCTCTTATTCCTAGGGATTGGTGCGAGAACTATTGCTTGTGCCTCGCACATGTTGGGTGTGGGGAGAAACCGAAGTTAGCTTCGAACATGGCTCTCACCAGAGCTTTGGCAGAGGGCCAGGCAGAGCAAATGAAACCTCTATATAGTTTCTTACTCTATGTCTCCAGTGACTTTGCCAGTGATGCCACGTAGGGGAAAAACGAAAAAAAAAGTTTTTCATTTGTTCAATGGAGCTGGACTCGAGTCTCGCGGTGAATACTTATGTCTGCACTTGTCGCATCTATTCTTAAGGATCGGTGCTAGAACTCCCCATACTATAACTGTTGTGTCGCACATGCTAGAAGTGGTGAGAAATCAAAGTAAGCATCGAACATGGCAGAGGCTCAGGCAGAGCAAATGGAACTTCCATATACATTCTTACTCAGGGCCGTAGCTAGCATGGGGCAGGTGGGGCGGAGCCCCAGGGCCCCGAAGTGAAGGGGCCCCGCCGGGGCCCCTTCTTATCGACCACTTTTTAGTTCTGAAAAAGCCTTACCATGGCTTTCGGACTTTCTGAATGTGCTTTAAATGGATCACAATAGTCTAACAAAATAAAAAAATTCTAAATTTTTTACATTTTTTATTAGATAATGTACAAAACAACATGTTTTCGCTTTGTTTCAACATATCTCAGTATCTCATTTGGTAAATACCATTAAAAACGCCGCTTTCTCGCTTTGCAAGCCGCAAATTCGTCGATCGCTTGGCTGAAATCGATCTTTCTTGCTCGCTCATTTTCAATCGATAATAATGCCAATGCACACAATCGCTCTTGCCCCATAGAGCTTCTCAAATAATTTTTAATCAATTTCAATTTCGAAAAAGATCTTTCCGCCGTTGCAACTGTGACAGGAAGTGTCAGAAACATGATACAAGCAGTGCACATGTACATCAGAGTAAGTTGACGTTAAGGAACTGTTTTCAATTATGATCATTTCAGCAAGTTGTTTCACACTATCAATCAGACCGATTTTTTTTTCTGAACACTGAACGCAACGAGAGTAATTGCGATGGAAATGTGGAAGAAATGTGATCACGGAAATTTTTCATGAATTTTTCGGCTTCTAACGAAATTTCCCCGTCAGTGGCATTGATTATGAATTTTGGTTGAACAATTTTGTAGACATCCAGAAAGGGGAAAGGACCCGGAGGTTGTTTTGGGCCAGACGAAATAATAGCGTGTTTGATTATTGGGTCCGTAATGACGTCAGGAAAAGTGTTCCCTGTTCTTGCACCGATAGGAGGAAGTGAATCTGTTCCTGTTGTAGCGCTCGCGCTACTCGCATCGAACGAAGGAACCTCGCAATCTCTTTCATTTTGGGATGATTCTGGCAGTGGTTGTGGTTCTGTGGCCAATGGAGATAGATTCCGAGTTGATGTACTCGCTTCAGGTTCTAAGAATTCCGTATAAAGAATTAATTTTATAATGTCAGCCTGGATCATTCATAATTTATGGAATATTTGAATTATTTCTTTATTCCAACGGGATTATTTTGGGATGAATTATAGGATAAATTGATTGATTATTTCACTGTCTCAATTTGTATACCCTTGCAGAGGGTATTATAATTTTGGTCAAAAGTGTGCAACGCAGTGAAGGAGACATCTCCGACCCTATAAAGTATATATATTCTTGATCAGGATCACCTCCTGAGTTGATATAGCCATGTCCGTCTGTCCGTCTGTCTGTTTCTACGCAAACTAGTCTCTCAGTTTTAAAGCTATCGAGTTCAAACTTTGCACACACCCTTCTTTCCTTTGCACGCAGTATATATGTCGGAACGGCCGGGATCGGCCGACTATATCCTATAGCTGCCATATAACTGATTGATCGGAAATGCCATAACTTTGGTGTTCGTAAAGTTAGGAAGTTGAAATTTTCTATGGGTTTTATTTTTAGCCAATCAATCCGACCTACCAAATTTCATAAGGATCGGCCGACTATATCTTATAGCTGCCATATAACTGATTGATCGGAAGTGCCATAACTTTGGTGTTTGTAAAGTTAAGAAGTTGGGATTTTCTATGGGTTTTATTTTTGGCCAATCAACCCGACATACCAAATTTCATAAGGATCGGCCGACTATATCTTATAGCTGCCATATAACTGAACGATTGGAAATGCCATAACTTTGGTGTTTTTAAAGTTAGGAAGTTGGGATTTTTTATGAGTATTAAGAATGCATCATATGAATAATTTTGGAGAATATAGTTTACAGAGTATTCTGCAAGGGTATATCAACTTCGGCTCCGCCCGAAGTTAGCTTTCCTTTCTTGTTTTATTTATATATCAATAAAATGTTTTTTTTTTCTACCTCACACTCATGTAACCTATATTTGATGAGTCTTTTTATACCCTTGCAGAGGGTATTATAATTTTGGTCAAAAGTGTGCAACGCAGTGAAGGAGACATCTCCGACCCTATAAAGTATATATATTCTTGATCAGGATCACCTCCTGAGTTGATATAGCCATGTCCGTCTGTCCGTCTGTCTGTTTCTACGCGAACTAGTCTCTCAGTTTTAAAGATATCGAATTGAAACTTTGCACACACCCTTCTTTCCTTTGCACGCAGTATATATGTCGGAACGGCCGGGATCGGCCGACTATATCCTATAGCTGCCATATAACTGATTGATCGGAAATGCCATAACTTTGGTGTTTGTAAAGTTAGAAAGTTGGGATTTGCTATGGGTTTTATATTTGGCTAATCAATCCTACCTACCAAATTTCATAAGGATCGGCCGACTATATCCTATGGCTGCCATATAACTGATAGATCGGAAATGCCAAAACTTTGGTGTTTGTAAAGTTAGGAAGTTGGGATTTTCTATGGGTTTATATTTGGCCAATCAATCCGACCTACCAAATTTCATAAGGATCGGCCGACTATATCCTATAGCTGCCATATAACTGATAGATCGGAAATGCCATAACTTTGGTGTTTGTAAAGTTAGGAAGTTTGGATTTTCTATGGGTGTTATATTTGGCCAATCAATCCGACCTACCAAATTTCATAAGGATCGGCCGACTACATCCTATAGCTGCCATATAACAGAACTATTGGAAATGCCATAACTTTGGAGTTTTAAAGTTAGGAAGTTGGGAATTTTTATGAGTATTAAGAATGCATCATATGAATAATTTTGGAGAATATAATTTACAGAGTATTCTGCAAGGGTATATCAACTTCGGCTCCGCCCGAAGTTAGCTTTCCTTTCTTGTTTATTATGCGAAGGGTTCATCAAATTGTTGAAAGTATTTGAAAAAAATGTTTGCACGCCTTGAGTACAAAAACCTATTTGAGTTAATAAATTTTATTTTATAACAACAAGTAGCATTGAGTCAAATAGTTTGGGTGAGGGCATTACACAATTCTTTATTGCAGATATTGGTTTCGATTTATCTCATAATTTCTTAACAAATAATTGTATGTCAAACTATAAAGATGAAAAACGACTAGTTTAGTTCATACTCTACTTTAGGATTCTTATGTATATGACTTTTATAGTTAACATTGATTAAAGTGGTTCCGAATTGGTAGCACAGCAATGATCGTTTTCTTTGTAGTACTGATCGCATGAATCCAATGGCCCGGTCATTACGGACCCAGTAACTATTATAAAAATTCAAAGTAGTTCAAAGTAGGGTCTTAAAAAATTGTTTAATATAATCAGAACCTTACAAAAAAATTATTTTACTATGTTTGTAAATTTCTTCAGATGTCCGTTGTTCGTTAAAAGATTAATTATATATTTAATACAGCGTTGATATCATACAAACTACTGGCAGAGATATTTATTATAAACAATTTTAAATTTTGTTACTGAATTTGTTATTGGGTATGCTGCTTTACCACTCTCCTAATAGTCGTGTGTCGAATTTGTAATACTAATTTGTGTCGGCAGATTGCTGACGTTTTGGGTGACTGACAGTCTACTGCTTGACTACCAGTTATCAACCTTGTTGTAGATCGACTAGTTCCTTGTAACCTGAATGGGTTGTTTAGTCGTCTGGACCTTGAGTTAGCGGTGAGGGAGTTACTTATAGCTGCTTATGTTTCCGAGGCGACTGAATGTGGTGTGTAGCTCGCTTATAACAAGCTTGTGGTGCTAATGCTGAAGTTGTTATTGCGGGCACTATATCCAAGGGAAAGCGATATTAAGATGTACTGTTGACGGACGTTTATTGCAGACTACTTTTATCCACACCATGTCAGAATTTGTTTTCCTAACTTCGCAATTCGTTGCTGATTTATTGTTTTATTGTGTGATGATTAAAACCAATGTGGCCAGCATTAAAGAATGGGCGTGCTTGGGTGAAAGTTCGTCATGCCCTAGCGAAAAGATTAAAAAAATATTATTTTTGGGGGTGTCTGTTTTTAGATCAGTGTTTTTTGGATCAAAAATGGACAGAAAAACACAACAAAAAACCCAGAAAAATGGCAGCTATGATCTCTAAAACACCAAATAATTATGAGTAATTAAATTAAAGTATTAAATTTAAAGTATATTGTTTTCTAATTTCTTTGTATAGCAGCAGACAAGTCTTGCCGAAGTAGTTGTCCTTTAAAGGCTCTTTCCCGCAAATTAGATTTTTTAATTTGAACTGCTTGTTAACAAGCCCAGCTGATTGATTTTTGAATTTTAACTACTTGTTAACAAGCCCAGCTGATTGACAGTACGACCGTAGCACGTTCAATAGAGATGAACTCTCTAAAATGCTGTCACACTGGAAAGAAAGTTTTTCCGCTGGCGAACTCGTTTTCGATCTGAGTACTACGCTTTAGTGCCTAAGCCCCACAATGCATATTTTTTTGTGAATTTCCCAAAAAAGCATATTTACAATTGGATAGTTAAGCGGAAGTAGTAATTAATGCTTTATATTGTACGGAAGCGACAGTGATTACTCTGCAAAGCACGGGCGCAGTATTGTTGGACGATGAATTTTGGTATTCACTTTCCCAAAAAGGTATGGTAGGTGGTTGCAATCACTCCAGAAATATCCTTTCGAATTCCGTCGGTAAGTTCTGCTCCTAATATTGCGGAATATAAGACCAGTCGGGGTTTGGTTTGCCATCGGAACAACTCGGAATTTCGAACAGAATAATCGAACTGAAACGCAGTTGTTTTTGTGTGTGGCGAGTACGTCGATTGTTTGCACGCCTTCACATACCTTTAACAGTTCCCGTATCAAGAGACGATGCAGGCGTGGATGATAACGAATTAACGAATTTCCCGGAAATCTTTTTTGCTTCATTGTAATTATACAATTGTCCGATACTATATTTTGTCAATAGCACCTCAATTGAGCAGCTGATTCGCGTCAATCGAGGTATCGAACAGTGTTCGCGACCACTATACGCGCGGGAAATTCAAACGTTCCACACATAGACAACCCTAAGCGTACTTTAAAATTTGACAAAAGACTTCCGTATAGGGGGCCCCAAATTTACTTGTTGCCCCAGGGCCCCCGAGGCTATATCTACGACCCTGTTCTTACTATATGGAGGAATTAGCAAATTCGATTTTTCAAACGTATTATTTGCAGGCCTCGACTCCTTTATATAGTATATATCTTTATTATTTTTTAAATAATTTTTACATACATAGGGAGAAAATCAAAATATGTAAAAAGAACTCACGTTCCAAATTCAACCGTTACTCAATCACTGCTAAGTAACCGATGCTAATACCCTCTTCCCATAGAGTCCATCCGTTCGAACGGTTGGGAATTTTGACAAATGTGAAAGTCCGATACCCACAAAGCACATCCAGCATCCGATAACAGCTGATCTGAACAGCTGTAGCTAATTATTCTAGCCTGTTGCATATTAGACAACATTTAAAATGAGCACAACAGCGCTACGCGAACAACCAAATCGGACTAATATATCTGCAGATTTTTGGCAGCCAGCAGAAAATATATAAACAGCTATTGCCCAATATTGTTTAAATGGTAACAATTCATATTTAATTTTATTATTATTAATGTCAAGAATGGCAGACAGCCAACCTCATTTCAATGACATGATCTCAGCCTACGCTCACAGCTCATTCAGCCCTTCTTGAACGCTATCTCCACAAGCTCGGCCTTGTGGTCCACCTTTATGGGCTTTGCTGGGCGAGCAGACGGGCGCAGAGGGGCCCCATTTTTTTCTGCCTTCAAAAAATAATATTGTGGAATGGATTGCCAATATATTGTTGCACGCATATAAGTTACCTGTACTTACACACACATAACACCCAGCTTCTATTAGGGACTGAGCCACCTTTATGTACTGTATTATAGACGGTAAATTTTAAAAAGTTTCCCGTCATTATTGTTTACGCTTTCTTAGTGAACGTTTCCATTTTCACTGTCAAGATAACGAACTCAGAGTTGCAGCGAAAAAACATCGCCTAACTATCGCATTAAAAAAGTCCGTCAAATTTGGATGGGGAATTAACTGGGAATTTTTGGAACGGTAAAACCTAAAGCCTAGTACTCAGATCGACAAACGAGTACGCTAGCGTAAAAACTTTAATCTTTCAAGTGGGACCAAAATTTCGAGAATTCATCAGAATTAAGCGCGGTACGGTCGTACTGTCAATCAGCTGGGTTTGTTGCCAAGCAGTTAAATTTCAAAGATCGTATTTGAGGGAAAGAGCCTTTAATAGATATTATCAACTACATTGGCAAGACAAGTCTGCCGGTGTACAAAGAAATTAAAAAACAAAACCATTTAAATTTAACAGTTGTTTTTTTTTAATTTACTGATAATTATTTGCTAATTTAAAGTTCATAGCTGCACTTTTATTGTGTTTTTTCGTACATTCTGGACCTAAAAAACATTTTGCTCTGACAAGAGGCACCCCAGATAGTATTAATGTTATTTTGTCCTCACATGGAAACTCCTGCAATCGACTTTTGCGGGTTTTTTGATTTTTTCCCTCCATTTATTAAAATGTTCAGTGAGAAGCGCACGCCGAAAGACTTAAGCCTAGTATCCAGATCGACGAAAACCGAACGCCAGTCATGAGAGAGCGAGAGGCAAACAGCTGGCGTTCACTTTTCGTCAGGCCTTTTTTTCACGTCGGTCCCCTGATCGACGAAAAAATACCAGAAAATTCCATAGCGTTGCCAGTCTGCGGAAATGAACTTTGAATGAATCTCACAAAAGTCGATTGCAGGTGTTTACATGTGAGGACAAAATAACATTAATACTATCTGGGGTGCATCTTGTCAGAGCAAAATGTTTTTTAGGTCCAGAATGTACGAAAAAACACAATAAAAGTGCAGCTATGAACATTAAATTAGCAAATAATTATCAGTAAATTAAAAAAAAACAACTGTTAAATTTAAATGGTATTGTTTTTTAAATTTCTTTGTACAGCGGCAGACTGGTCTTGCCAAGATAGTTGATAATATCTTTTAAAGGCTCTTTTCGGCAAATACGATATTTGAATTATAACTGCGTGTCAACAAACCCAGCTGATTGACAGTACGACCGTAGCACGCTTTATTCTGATGAACTCTCGAAATTTTGGTCACACTGGAAAGATTAAAGTTTTTACGCTAGCGTACTCGTTTGTCGATCTAGTACTCAGAAGGCTTTAAAGGGTACGATGAATCCTTTCATACCTGAATTAGTGAACCTTATAATGTGAAACTCCGATTCCCACAGAGCACATCCACCATCCGATAACAGCTGATCTGAACAGCTGTGGCTATCATTCTAGCCGGTTGCATTTTGCACAACATTTAAAATGAGCATAACAGCGCATTAAATGATAGTTGGTAACAGACTACAAGTGATCTACGCGAACAACCAAATCGAACTAATATGTCTGTAGGTTTTTGCCAGCCTGAAGAAATAATATGAACCGCTTTTGCCCAATATTGTCCAAATGGTAACAAATCAAGTTCATTAAATATTTGTTTGTTTTTTGTTTTATTATAATTTCATGTTTCATTTTATTTTTAATGTCTAGGATGGCAGACAGCTAAGCTCAGATCAATGACATGATCTCGGTCTGCGCTCGCTGCTCCTCCAGCCTTTCTCGAGCACTATCACCACAAGCTCCGCCCTGTGGTCCACCTTTGCGCGCTTTGTAGGGGGTGCAGAGCTTCCTGAGCGTTCCGCGGCAGAGGCTTCCAGGTCAGCGGGGTCCACATCTAAGACCTTACAAAAGTATTCCCTAGTACCTGCAATAAATATATTTTATTAGTAATTGTAAACCACATATATAAGTCTGGGGACATACTCTCGTTCTCCAAGGTGTCCTGCTCCATGTTGTGATTACGGTATGCGCCTAGGAAAAAGTTGAGCAACTCTCAATGCTGCCACACGGATGGATCAGTAATTAATTAATTATTACGAGTATAAACAGCATTTTTTCATTTGGGGCCTTTATTTTTCAAAAGTTATCCGCCATTATTTTTTAAATTTTCCTAGGGAATGTTTCATTTTTCACTGTCAAGAAGAAGAACCTAGACTTGCGCCGAAAAAACATCGCCTCACCTAAGTCCGTCAAATTTGGATGGGGAACTAACTGGGAATTTTCGGAACTGCAAAACCTTATGGACCATCCGTACAACGGATGGTGGGTGATGAATGGATCTCTGTGGGAAGTAGGCAGAAGATAAAACGTCTTTTGCCCGATCATGCAGATGCGCTACTATCCGAACTGGTACTTAGGGGGTTTAATATTACTTGTTCATAGCTTTATAATACGGTGCTCACACCGTAATGTGGTTGTGACCCATTCTCACAAGCACCCACTGTTTCAAAAGCAGCTGATCGGCCAGTGAGAATTAGAAAGATTTATATACATTTAATGGCATTCCCTTAGAAAAACCTGACTCGCTCCGAAATGCAGGGCCTTCTAAAAATTTCAAAAGTTTCAATTAAAAATCATACATGTAAATAACCAATATAATTTCAGGGCACACTAATAGCAACAGAAAGTTGTTGTAACTTATTCTCTTCTCTATTTAGCAGGTTAACTTCTCATGGAAGAAAAAGTCAAAGTTTCCAAAAATTTGGTTGCCATAGCAGAAAAGGATCCTTTGTGAATAGGAATTAATAGATGTAATCAGTAATTAATAACGAACAATAAAATTAAATATTTGGAAAGTACATAACAATTATATAATATCTGACAAAGCGTGGAATTGTCAAAAATTCAACAGAAACATTATATTGCTCAGATCTTCCAATGGATTTTTTGAAAAAAATACCAAATTAGTAGTTCAAGAAACTCCCTAATGAATTATTTAAGTTAATTTAACTTAGGTTTTTTTATTTTGAATTGTTCAAATTCAGGGCTGGGACAGTAGCATACAATGCAATCGATAGATCGATACTTTGTAAAAGTTGTATTCTTGGTATATATTCCAAGATGGCGGAATGTGCGGAGGAGAAGAGAACAAAAAGCAAGAGAAAAATCTTTAAGCGTATATTTAAAAGTATTAATGCATAAATCTATGTATTTGCTAATGCCCAACACATATTAAAGGGCAAACTAATCAATATCCAAGAAACTCGAGCACGGATGCCACGTTGTGCGTCTTCCTCTCAAAGTAGAGCCCACAAAAAGACAGCCAAAAAATCGAAATCTCGCATACACGGAAGGCCGAGTATTACTGCCAAGCATTAAAAGAAGCAGAAAGGCGACCAAGAAGATTAGTCCTGTAAATTGCTTGCGGTACTGTAAGAAGTGTTTCGGGCGATTCGAGATAGATATTCGCGGGTCAGACAAATCCGGCAGTTTTCCCAACGTCCTGGGGGCACCGAAATTTGACCGCCTCTGCAAGAGGCAACAGCGATATTGGACTTATATTTCCGACACTCCGCAAGATTTGTGTGTGCCCACGTCAACGCTTGCAGTGTCACCATCTCGGCACCTAGCAGTCACTTCAAAACACCGACAAGCTTTCTGCCGGGGTGCAGCAGACTATGTCTGACTTTTTGCATCACCAAAAACCACAAGAGCACACATAGCCATGGCAGCGACGAGAAAACTACAAGGTAAGCAAAACGGGCTTCCTTTTAAATATAGTTGCAATCTGAAACCTAACTATTAAACTCATGTTCGTGATTAGGCGAAATAGATCGATGTTTAAAAAAGGTAGCCGAGGGCGTTGAAACATTTGAGGATATTTGGAAAAAAGTGCATAATGCGACAAACACCAACCAAAAGGTGAGTTTAAAGTACAATAATCTCAGCTATATAAACCAATTTACAAACAACAAATTATGTACTTATGTCCTATTTAAATCCCATCAGCAAAAACATCTGCAGGAGAAGTATGAGGCAGATCTCAAAAAAGAAATTAAAAAGCTGCAGCGATTACGCGACCAGATCAAATCATGGATTGCATCGGCCGAAATTAAGGATAAAAGCGCACTGCTGGAGAATCGAAGGCTTATTGAAACCGTAGGTTTTTCTTATCTTTATATTTGTGACGAACGTCACCAAATTATTTGTCTTTTAGCAAATGGAACGCTTTAAGGTGGTCGAGCGCGAGACAAAAACAAAAGCTTACTCGAAGGAAGGTTTGGGCGCTGCACAAAAAATGGATCCTGCCCAGCGAATCAAAGATGATGCCCGCAATTGGTTAACCAGCTCAATAAGTTCACTTCAAATCCAGATTGACCAGTATGAGAGTGAGATCGAATCTCTGCTGGCAGGTAAAAAGAAACGATTGGATCGAGACAAACAAGAGCGAATGGATGACCTACGAGGGAAGCTGGACCGTCATAAATTCCATATAACAAAACTAGAAACCCTGCTTAGGCTGCTCGATAACGACGGAGTCGAAGCAGAGCAGGTTAACAAGATCAAAGACGATGTCGAATACTACATTGATTCATCGCAAGAGCCAGACTTTGAAGAAAATGAGTTCATCTACGACGACATCATTGGACTCGACGAAGTGGAGCTTAGCGGCACGGCAACGACGGACAGTAATAACAGCAACGAGACTAGCGGGTCCCCAAGCAGCGTCACCTCTGGTGGCAGTCCGTCACAGTCGCCCGTCACTGTTCAACAGATTTTAAACACCTCGACGCAAGCGGTGGTAAGTAGCGGCAGCAGTGCAGCCAGCGCTACACTGTTCCAGCAGCAGCAGTCAGCGACCCAGTCAAATGGCAACAACGTAGGATATGCGAGCGACACAAGCGCAGCTTCATCATCGGCCACCACATCTACAGATCCGGCGGGCAGCACAGCTGCAATGAATTGCGGTGGAATAGGTGTTGGTGATAAACGCAACAAGAGCAGCGAAAGCAATGCCATCAGCAAATTAAAAGTGTGTAGTCGATTTCCCGTGTTTTGTATGCGTTATGCTTTTAATGATATACTTTTGTTCGCAGTCACAGCCTCAGCAGCTTGTTAAGCCCACACCGCTGCGACCGACGGCCAAGCTGCCTTCGAGTAGTGATAGTAAATTCTTACTCTTTTTATTCGTCAAGTGTTTGTTTTACTAACTGTTGATCCTTATGCAGCTCCAGTCAATAAGATTGTCAACTCAACTCCCAGTAAAAATCAGCAGCAGCTACCCTCGGCGGCTTCAATCGTTGCGGCCTCCAGCTTGTCGCAAAACAGTAGCAGTGGAAACGGAAGTGTCAACTCGGCAGCGGGAACGGGAGCGGCTCAATTACCATCTAGCAGTCACAATCCTGCGTTACAGCCTCACGCTCCAACGCCTGGCCTCAGCGCCGTCACAGCAGCTGTATTGAATGCCGCTCCCTCAACGATTGCGAGCATCGTCAACGTTCAAGGCTCATCTGTGATCCAAACAACACCAACAATTGCTTTCGCTGCAGTGGCAAAACACAATTCATGTAGGAGGACGGCTCAATCATACTTATTGTCCTTACTTAAAGTGATATCCTGATTCTAGCACTCCTGGAAAATGGTCCTATATTGCCGCAACAACAAGCAATAGCTCCTACGGTGGCAGCTATTGTAGGAACAGGAGCCCAGCCACAGCAACTACAGGGGGCACAATTATCCAATCTTCAAACGAATTCCTCACACTTGCAAAATGGTAAGATCAATGGTTTTCATTACTACCACTAAACGCTTTTCTCAGTAAGGTAAAAAACGCGCAGAATTTTTAAAAATATCCAAAATATTTTAAATAAATTAAAAATTTTGTTTTTAATTTTGAAACTTTTAGAATAGACGAAAAAACTTGAAATAATAAGCTATAAACTTGCAATTTAATCGATATATTATTAAAGTTTAAGACAAAAAAATCCGAAACACATAGAAATCTTTAAATCCTGGAATATACACGGGTTATTTCAAAACAAGCGTTTCGCAACCTGCCAGGACAATTATCATTTTAGTCAAAAGTATCTTTTATCTGCGTTTAAAATTTATAATTTTGTGCACACCTTTAAGGGGAAAGTGTCATTTGACAAACGTTGAGGAAAAAATAACCCAAATTTAAGAATAAATTTAAAAAAATTTGAAAAATCGTTAACCTTAATTTTGTAAAAAACGATTTAAACCCCCTATAACCACGATTTGATACATGAAAAATGACGAGCAAAGCGACAAAAATTTGTATTCCCGTTTTAATGAAATTTCAAATGGGCTATCGAATTCTGAATAATGACGCTAAAATATGCAATTTTTCATTAAATTTCACTTTTTTTACTTTTATTTCTATTTCTTTTGATTTTCAATTTTGGATCTTTGAACACTCGCCCGATATTCATCGTCACTACGTGTTCTGCCGTTGACAAGTATAAAATGTTCAAATAATAAAATTTCCATCAACTGCAGGTTTCCCGGTAAACCTAAATTTCAATTTGTTGAACCATTGTCTAGGTCTGTCTAGGTAATCTGTCTTGTAATCTTTCCTTTTCCACAACTTTTTATGCTTGGAACGGCATTATATTTTTAATTTGTAATTCGTAATCAATTTATTGGCATCTGCATTTTTTAATAAAGGTTTAAATTGTATTTAATTTCATCATGTTTCCAATTTTTAAATAGCACAGCTAAATTTACATTTTGATTTTGAAGATCGAATGTCTTATTTTTATACACTTAGCTATATTAAAAACCGTGAAAGTGATGGAAAATATGTTTATTAGGAACTTTTTAACTTAAAGACTCTGCCATTATGAAAAAGTTACAATTACTCGTGAAAATTTAAAAGTATTCGAAATTATTGGAAATAGACAATTTTGCCAAGTTGGAAATATCTGATATCAATTTTTGTAACAAACAAGAAAGGAAGAAAACTTAAGCAAGCCGAAGTTTATATACCCTTGCAGTCATTACAAAACGACATTTCGATTTCTATGCCTATAGTCAAACCTCATATTCTGTCCCACTTTAACAGAAAGCTCTCTTCTTTTGGATCTTCTTCGTATTAAGCCTGTTTATTCGCCAGGGCCCGATGGTATTCCTGGGTGCGTGCTTAGGTATTGCGCTAAGGCCCTGTGCAAACCTTTTCACAAGTTGTTTACCTTATCTCTAGAAACCTCCCAATTCCCAAATTTTTGGAAGGAATCATTTGTGATTCCTCTTCTCAAAAAAGGTAACAAGTTAGAAGCCAGTAACTACAGAGGTATTTCTAAGTTATCAGCTATTCCTAAGCTTTTTGAAAAAATTATTACTCCTCATTTGCAGCACCTTTGCAGATCAATCATTTCTCCGTGTCAACACGGATTTATAAAACGTAGATCCACAATCACAAACCTTCTAGAGCTCACTTCATTTGTGATAAAAGGCTTCAATAGTAGTTTTCAAAGAAAACGTCATTTACACTGACTTTAGTAAAGCATTTGACTCTGTAAATCACTTACTTCTCATTCAAAAACTTGACCTTTTAGGTTTTCAGATGTTACCTCCGGTGTCCCACATGGGAGCCATCTGGGTCCGTTACTTTTTACATTATTTATTAACGATCTTCCCTCAATTATAATTCATTCTCGCGTACTTATGTACGCAGATGATGTTAAGTTGTGCCTGCAGTATAAGTACATTTCCTGCTATTTAAACTTGCAATCCGATCTAGATAATTTTCAAAACTGGTGCCGAGATAATTTACTAAATTTAAACGGTCCCAAGTGCAAGCTGATGACTTTTTATCGGGCCAATCCGATATACGCGACTTACACGTTAAGTGGCAGCCCTTTGGATAGAATAACTCTTGTAAACGATCTTGGCGTTCTCTTGGACCCTAAACTAAAATTTTCTAATCACATTTCGTCCATGGTTAATAAAGCCAGAGGAGTGCTTGGATTTATTAAAAGGTGGTCAAAAGAATTCGATTATCCTTATTTGACTAAAACTTTATTTATTTCGCTAGTCGGTCCGATTCTGGAGTATGGGTCTCCCGTCTGGAGTCCGCAATACGGAATTCATATTGGTCGTTTTGAATCAGTACAAAAAAACTTTCTTCTTTTTGCTTTACGGCGCCTAAACTGGGATGCAAATCTTAACGTACCTTCTTATTCAAATAGACTTCTGTTGATTAATTTACCCTCCCTAGCCAACCGTAGAACGATGCTTGGTACTGTCTTCATTTATAACCATATACATGGTGATATTGACTCCCCCGACTCGGTAAGTCGGCTAAACTTTTCTGTGCCAAGTAGATTAACTAACTAGAAATTATATTACTAAAAACAATGAAGCTATGTTGATTTTGCGCACATTTTGTCATTGTTTCTATGACAGCTATATGATATTTTCGATTGTCCGATTTTGACAAAACTAAAAGCGTAATTCTGATATAGAAAACAATTACTATATCTCAAAGGAATATTTTGATAAGCAGAAAAACAGCAAATTTCTTTTGTTATTTTTCGATTTTCCTATGGGAGTTATATGATATACATGTCCGATCTTAATTTAAATAAAACCAAAATTCCATAACATTTAACATTTAACATTTTACCAAATCCCAAAGAAAAAAAAAAGTAAACAATAAAGTTATTTTTTTAAAAATTTATTTCCAATTGTTCCTATGGGGGCTATATAATATAGTCGCCTGATCCGGCTCGTTCCGACTTATATACTACCTGCAATAGAAAGACAACTTTTGGGAAAGTTTTCAGCAGATAGCTTTAAAACTGACAAGTTTGCGTAGAAACGGACGGTCGGACAGACAGACGGACTCGGCTAGATCGACTCTCCTGGTGATGCTTCACTGCGTTGCAAACTTTTGACTGAAATTCTAATAATTTATTTATAATAGTTTTATGGTATTTAAGTATTACCAAATCCCAAAGAACAAAAAAAAAAAATTAAAACAAAGTTGCTCTTTTTTTTAATTTTTCCGATTGTTCGTATGGGAGCTATATGATATAGTCGCCCTATCCGGTTCGTTCCGACTTATATACTTCTTGCAGTAGAAAGACAACTTTTGGGAAAGTTTCAAGCAGATAGCTTTAAAACTGAGGGACTAGTTTGCCTAGAAACGGACAGACAAACGGACGGACGGACGGACATGGCTAGATCTCCTGGTGTCTGAAATGTCTGCTTCACTGCGTTTCAAACTTTTGACTGAAATTATAATACCCTCTGCAAGGGTATAAAAATAGACATCGCCAATACATTTTATTTTTTTGATTTGGAAGTTTATGAGTACAGATACAGTGGCCCTTACCACACCAAACAGTTTTTGTTACGCGCAGCTTTTCCCCTTGGGCCGTAAAAACGATATCGTATGACGTGAAACAAGGACAATAAAGAGACAGACATTAATTATAATAATAATATAAAATATACGCTTTTAAGAACAGTTTCTATCTGGCCTATATGTATAACACATTGTGGACGCCAAAATCAACATGCATGATTCTAGTCAACGCACAACCACCCACCGTAAAAAAATGTGCATTACTTTTCATTTAGCACTATTAAATTCAAAAAGATTACCACATTGCGTACATAGGGACACGCGACGTTGTCAAGAAGAATATTGTTGAGAAATAATTTACAAAGAAGGAGATCAGGTTTAAGACACAACATTTATAGAGAACATATCGAGATACTTTGGAGATCCAAGAGAATTGAGTTTTCCGACTAAAAGTTAGCTTTGAAAAAATTGCTCAAAAAGATCGCCACTGGCTTGATAAGTGTTTGTATTACATTTTTAAATGACAAAGATGCAGGTTAAGTGACTTATTTATGCTTATTGTTAACAATACTAAAAAACTATTTTGGGAGAACTGGATCCTACAACGAGACGGAAGATCAGAGATTTTCTCCGGCTTACAGAAAAGCACAATAAAAAGAAAAACTAACACAGTTCTGCCCTCCGACCATAAGCTGATTTAAGAGGTTTAATTGGCACCAATTCTGAAAACAGTCAATATCAGACTGGAAATCGAAACGAGACTGAAAATTATTATTGGAACAAAATAGAGGGGAGATTATTAATAAATAAATAGAGTAAACAGCAAAAGTCCAAAAAACTATTATGAGGCACTTCAGATGTTATAATTTAAAAAGCACTTAGAGAAATATTGATATATAACATTAGTCTGCATTTTATAATTAAATCATTTTACTACTATTCAAGTAGTTTCGTTGTGATATAAGCGACGAATACAAATTTTGCAAGTGAGAAGTAATAAAACGCTCATATGAGATTAAAAAAAATGAGTAAAAATCCAGATAATTTAAAAATTCCTCTACAATTGTGAACATTCAACTTCCCACAAATAAAACAGTTTAGGAATCGGCTTACAAATAGTTGAGGCATTTAACTTAAGCACACACCCAGGGAGCCAGGAAATTTCTAAATCGCTTAAAAGAGAATTTTCTATAATTACCGGGGAAAAATGCAATTCGACCTATTTAAATAGTAAGGGTAATTTAAATGTTAACTTCTGATCAATTTTTAATTCGGTTTTAGACGGGTTAAATACTTATAATTTACTGTTAAGAACATTAGAATCCGTTCATATTTTGAAAAGTCAGATGGCTTACCTGTCCTTTCTTACTTTTTGTTAGTGTTTGTTTTAAGGTTTTTAAGTTCTTAAAGCTCCGTTGTAAACCACGGGGGTCTGCATTGTC